TTCAAACTGCCCACCTTTTGGTTAGCAGCCAGGCTCTTAACCATTGCGCCACCAGGGCTCCTATTCTTTGGATAGGGAGTAGAAAAGTACAATGAGGATTATTTCTCTTACTAAGCACTATACAGGTAGTCCTCTACTTATGACGGGGTTCCATTCTGATGACTCCATCATGAATTGGTTCTGACATAAGTTGAATACCTCTTTTTTTTTTTTTTAAGTTTTTATTATTATTGCCTTTTTATTATCAGTATCTTTATAAATCCGATCTTTGTCTTTTGGGGGGTTGAAGCTTCATGTATAAACATCTGCAAATGAACATCTGAGAATAACATCAGCAAATTATGCAGTGCAACATGTATGTAGTACATATTACTAATGACGAGATGTACAAAAAAAGATGCTCGTAAGTGTGGCTTGTCATAACTCGAATACATTATAAGTTGGGGACTGTTTGTAGGTATAATTATTGGTGTTTGTCACTTTGTGTATTTTCACTTGCTCTGTTTGCTGAAACACTTTGACCAATAATAAACACTTTCTGTTGTCCGTTTTCAGTCCTTATCTATGAACCAGAAAATCCTGAGGCCAAGGAGTTTTTCTCACTTATTGAAGAAGTACTGCTGATGGGTAAAATTTAACAATTGCAGTTCCTTCTTTCTCATGGAATTATGATCAGTCCCTATTTAAAAACCCGTTATCCTGGGAGATTGGCAAAGTGCATCTCCTTGAAGTGGTTAAGAAAAGGATCAGTGACTGCCTTGGATGGTTTAATGAAAACAAGCTTGTCCTCTGTGGAGATAATCATGGTGACCCCCTTCTCTCTCTGGAGTGGAACTGCCAAAGCTAAGCAGGCTCCCCAGGCACCAAGCACCGGGACCAAACAGAGTTTCCAGAGGGAGCAGGACATGTTAATCACCCCCATGTATTAAGGGGTTATCCATAATTCCAAGGAAAGCCAATACCCTGTGAACTACCATAAATGTCACTTCCTCTTATTCTGTTTAAGAATTGACATTGACAATAGTAAAAAAATAAATAAATTTTTATAGACCTGGGTCCTAAATTAACTTTAAATCCGCAAACGTTTTTATGTCAGCAATAATATGTTTCTTCTTTGTATTACTTCTTTGACCCTACATTCAGTTAGCAAAGTTCAGCTCAGTTTTTTCATGTTCCAAAAAACAGGTATTTCTTGGCTGGAGGGAGGGGCAAGGAAAATTCTGATTTTTCAAAGAATGGAAACATTAAGGAGCTTTTTAAGCAATTCTCTTCCTTTCTGTGGCAGAGAAAACTCAGAGTCTTAAGGAAGATGATGAAGACAGTGAAGAAGACAGTAGCATTGAGAGTGAAGGAGAAAGCACTGAGGAGCCGAGTGAAGAGAGCTCTGACGAATGTGAAGACGGGTGATGAATGTTGGTTTAAGCTTTATGCATTTTCATTAATGTACACCATGGAATTTTCATTAATGCATACCATGGAAATATGAAGAAGAGAGCTGTGTTTTGTCTAATTGTGCTTTATATGCTGCAGAGTTCCTTTTAATTTACCCATCTTCTTAGTTTGAGCTCCTTCTTAATAATTAGGCCTCAGTTCAATGTGAGTTCCTCAAAGAGGAAAAAAGTAATTGCAAATACTGCCATAGCACTAACTATATGCCAGGTACTGTTCAAACTGTTCTACACATATTTATTTAATTCAACAATCCCATAAGATAATACTGTTGTTATACTCGTTCTGAAGAAGATGGAAGTTCATTGGCACAAGTTGAATATGTATATTAGTTTTCTGTAACTAGTGTAACAAATTACCACAAGCTTAATGGCTTAAAACAATGAAAATTTATTATCTTACAGTTCTAGAGTCAGAAATCCAAAATCAGTCTCAGTGGGCCAAAATCAAGGTGTCAGTAAGGCTGCATTCCTTCTAGAAGCTCTAAGGGAGAATCTGTTTCCTTGCCTCTTCTAGCTTTTAAAGCCCAACCTGCATTCCTTGGCTCACAGCCCCCTTCCTCTGTCTTAAAAGCCAGCAGTGTCTGACCAAGTCCTTATCATGCAGCCATCTGTCTGCTTCTCCCTCTTCTGCTTCCCTCTTCCACTTTTAAGGACACTTATGATTACACTGGTCCGCCCAGATGCTCCAGTATTAGCTCCCAATCTTAAGCTAACTTAATTCCATCTGCAACCTTAATTCCCCTTTGCCATGTAACCTAGCATATTCACAGGCTGTACAGATTAGGGTGTAGATATCTTTTTGGGGGGGTAATAGGGAGAGCATTATTCTGCATACCACAGAAAATAGCAGGTAAATGTTAGCTAGTTTTTTGGAATTCATGGTATGGAGCTTGGAAAAGACACACACGGGCTGGAGATATACCTTTATTAGGAATCATCAGCTTAGATGTAGTAATCAAAGGTGGGAGTGAATGGCCCATGGAGAGAGTGCAGTCTGACAAGAAGAGGGCCAGGGATAGAATTATGATGATCACCAACATTTAAGTGGTAGTCCAAGAAAGAGAAGTGCACAAAGGAGACCGAGAACAGCCAAGAGGAAAGTCAGGAAGGAGACTATAGTGGATACGGTTGGTTGCCTACTCAGTATCCTCTCCGCTGCTTTGCTAAGAGACCCCTGATTCTGTTCACATATTCACTCCACACACACGACCATGGAACTCAGGAAAGGTGACTTCACCCTCAGTCAGCACATGACATTTCTCTGGCAACTGTTATTATTCTAGAGAAGGACATGTGACCTACATTGGCCCCATCAGACAAGGTCTTTATTTCATGGTTGTGAGGAGAGATTCCTCCACTTGTCTGGATAAGAACCAGAAGCATGCTGTCCTAGTTACCGCTGGCAGCCATCATATGATCATGAGGGGAACTAGTCTCAGGATAAAGCTGATGCTGTGGATGGTAGAGCAGAAAGAAGGCTTGGTCTCTATGATTTTCAGCCACTCAAACAACTGCCCCACAAGCCAGCCTCCATTTGAGCTTTCTGTTATGTGAGATAAACTTTCTCATTGTTTAAACCAGTTTGGATCAAGGTTCCTTTTACTTGCCGCCAAAAGCATCTTAAGTGATATTGAGTACCACCACAGAAACCTAGACAAGAGAGGGCTTCAGGAAGCCTGGAAAGACCTACTCAGCCAAAAGTTGCTGAGAGAACAAGTAAAATAACTAAAACGTATAATTGAATAACAACAAAGAGGTGGTGGTTGACATTAAGTGCAGAGTCAGTCGAGTGTGGGAGGGGGAAGCCATATTTCAGTGAGCGAGTAAATTGGAGGTGAGGAAGAGGGAAGGAATTTGACTATGAAGGAAAGACGAAAGATGAAGTATTGTTGGGGGAGAATATATTGTAAAAGGAGTGTTATTTTTGAAATGTTTAAAGTGAGCATGTTAAATAGGAAGGATGATAATAACATGTAGTGATAGAATGTTATGTGTTAGACACTACTAAACGTTCAGTATGTTAATGAATTTAATCCTCATAACACCTGTGTGGAGTTCAAAGCAAAAGCAAACCCGTTGCCGTCGAGTCAATTCCAGCTCATAAAGTTAGCTGTGTGGAGTAGACATTATTATTTCCAGTTTACATATGAAAAAAACTGAGGCCCAGAGTGATTAAAAGTAACCTTCTAAAGGGCACAAAGCTGGTAAATGACAAATTCAAATCCAGATCATTCTGCTGTAATGCCCTGGTCTTTACCACTGTGCTTTCCTCCCTGAGATGCCAGTAGAGAGGAAGAGATTAAAGAAAGGAGGATAATTTGTGAAGTGAACACTATCTAATATCTTAGAAAATGTGTATAATATAACCTTAAGTACATTTTAAAAGCAGATTACAAAATTGTATTCATGGAGAAAAAAAGAAAAATTGTATCCATGGTTTATGTGACAGTTGGACCTCTGCCCCAAACAGTCCCTGTGTGGGTACTTCTCCTTTGTTCTCCGGTGTTGGTCCTTTAATAGTCTTCACTTACCCTACATTTCCGTATATATTGAACAAGGTGATAACCTGCATTCTCCTTAATTGAAATGTGCCTTTTCCTTTGAACAGTACCCCGGTTGACATGTAAGATGTATGTAATTTTGGTATTTGCCTGAAGTATTGATGTTGATCAAGGGAGAGCTCCTGAACAGTACATATGGTGCCAGATGTGAAATAAAGTCCAGATCCATTGGAATTGTTTTGGGGTTCTGGGCAAGTGTCCTGTATTATTAGGTAATAAGAGTTTACAAGAGGCAGGTAAGATGAGGCCACCCAGGCCAAACTGAGGGGGGCACAGGTCTCTCTGGTTGACTGTCCTCATAAACTCCCAGCTTCTCATGGCATGTGAGTTGCTAGGGTAATGGGGAGGGGTGAGTGTGCAAAACTTGGGGAGGCTTGTGAAGTGAAGCACTGTGAGATGAGATTTGTTATAACCTTGTTCAAAATGTACCCTTCTGAACCAGGAGACAGTCTATACCAGACAACACTGTGGTTGTCTGGTGTAGTCTAAACTAACTAAGCATGCTAATCTCATCCCCCTTGCTACTAATTTTTTTCACACATGGGCAAAACTAAGCCAGTTTCAGCTGATAAAGCATGAGGAGCTAGATGTGAACAAGAAGGCATGTCACCCTAATGGCTACTAACAGCCATCTTAGCATTGTGAGTAGGCCTTATGCTGAAGCCAGTGCTAAGTACAGCAGAGCAGAAAGAAGAACCTGATCCTTTATGACCTTTTTTTAGTGACTGAATCAACCAGCTCTAACTTGGTGCCTATCCTGTCTCAATATCCTATGTAAGACAATGAATTTTCTTATGATTAAGCCAGTTTGTTTCAGGTTTTCTATTACTTTTAACTGAGAATGAAATGACCTACATCCCCTAAGGGTGTGTGAGCCAAACTGGACTCTTTATGTTACCCTCAGGTCCCCAAGGGTTCATGGCCACTCAAAGCCAGGAAAGGGGAATAGGTGGTTCCTTGTGCCAGTAGCAGTGTGAGTAAAGTTACAAATTGAAACTGGTTAGAATGGTTATCTCTGGGGCATGGAACTTAGGGTGGGGGGAAGTAACAAGAGTTTTACTTTTCATTTTACACCTTTTATTTATTCCCTTTTTTTTTTTTTTTAATCATTGCGTGTATCATTCTTGTAATTTAAAACTTTTAAATTAAGCCTATACATGATGAGGGAGAGATCTGGAAAAAAATTAATAAAAATGCTTTCCATGGTTGTGTTTGGGTGATGATAGTTCATTTTTCTTTATTTGAAAATCTTGGGCTTCTTTAACAACCTAATACTACTTTTTTTTAAGAAACAAACTTTTAAAAAATGTTAAGGAAAAACCTTAGGAACCGAGAAGTCAAAACAAGGAAAGAAAAACCAATATTCATGGGAGTGCCTGTTATGTACGAGGCATTTTCATAGGCTTTAGTACCCTTTTTGGTATGCTGGAAGCTTCTAATGAAGATAAACAGTAATAAGTAAGTAAATAGGTCATTAAGTTCAGAAAAGAATTGTCATCTGAGATAGAAACTTGCTGATCTTCATAGAACATTAGCCAGTTAGTACCCTTACAAATGTGCTTATCCTTATTCCTAACTGGATAATTTAAGTAGGGATAATTACAGTCCCCAACGAGTAGGCCCAAAGAAGTTTTCTCAGCATTTATTATATAGTTCCTATTGCTGCATTACTCCATACTAATATATTTTTAGTGGTTAACTTTCATGAGTTCCTTTCCCCCTTTTTTAGTGTATCAGCTTGCCTGTTACTCTGCAGCAAGATTTTTGGTGTTTTGTGGCCTCAGGTCCCTAAGTGTATTCTCACCTCTAGTAAAAATTATTCTAAATGTCTTTCCATAAAAAGGATTACCTGAAAATTACCATTCTGTAAAGATGATCAGTTTCACAGTTCCCTGTCCATCAATGGACATAACGTTTTAGAAAGAAAATCTCTTCCCTATCATAAACAAACAAACAAAAAAAAAACCAAACCCATTGCCATCGAGTCAATTCCGATTCATACCAACCCTATAGGACAGAGTAGAACTGCCCCATAAGGTTTCCAAGGAGCACCTGGTGGATTTAAACTGCCAGCCTTTTGGTTAGCAGCCTGAACTCTTAACAACTATACCACCAGGGTTTCCTTTCATAGCAGGCACCAAATGCTAGACACCTGTTGTCATCAGAGGAGCTCAACCAAAGGTGAGGGCAGAAGAGTACTTATATCAGCAGACATTATCATCCTAAAGCCACCTTCTCTTAGCTCACTACCTGCCAATGAAAGAAAAAGAGAGAATATTGAAAGCCATATGCCACTGAATGAAATTAAGAATACTTTAAGGAACTTGCCTTAAACTAAAACTTGCTAAATTGAGCCCTCTTGTTGTTAGCTGCCTGTTAAAGCAATGATTTGAATACTAATGTAACTGGCAGCACCTGTGGAGGCCCGTCGAGGTCTGCTGGGTGGCTCTGACTTCTTAAGACTCATTTTTTCCTTCTCTCCTTCATCTGCCTCCTCATCTGAATCCAGA